GATATTTGCACCCAACCAATGGACAGAAGCTGCTGCCCCCTGTGGTTGAATTACAGAAAAGCTGGAAGAAGCTGAGGAGGGTGACCCTGTAGGTAGACCAGCAATCTCAATTAACCTGGATCCCTGAGATCTCTCAGACACTAGATCACCAACCAGGCAGTATACACCAGCTGATATGAGCCCCTCAACACATATACCAGCAGACTGCTGGGTCTGGGTTCAGTCAGAGAAGATGCACGTAACCCTCAAGAGACTGGAGGCCCCAGGGAGTTTAGAGGTCTGATGGGGTGGGTGGTGGATGGTGGGTACGTCCTCGTGGAGATAGGGAGGCGAAGAAGAGGTATGGGATGTGGAACAGTCGGAGGGTGGACTGGGAGGGGGATAGAATCTGGAGTATAAATAAATAAATAAATAAATATTTTTAAAAAAGAATATAGTCAGACAAGAGTCAGGCTATAAAGGATACTAATCTCAGTTTTAAGAGTTCCAATAAGATGTATGACATCATCATGTTTTAGATTTCTGAATTATATACAAAAACTATAAAATCCAGCTTCCTTTCTGAAGATACATGGTCAATGCTTGTATATGAAAATAATATTTCAGTACATGATAAACATGTCTTTATATGAACCTGATTATACACTGAGAACAATTGCAAAACATCAGGAGTAAATGCACAGAAGTATAAAAGATACCCAGAAGACCACTAGGGCACTTTTACAAAATCACAGACATGCAAGAGATCTATCACAAGTTAATAAAAGGAATTATTTCCTTTCCATACATAATAATTATTATTTTTTTAAAGTTGAAAAATAAAACTGCATTGCACTAAAAAGTTCCATTTGATCAACTTAAACCAGCATTTTCTACAGAGAGCATGAAGCCCAAAATAAAACTAACTTTTGTTCTAGGGTTAATAACTCAACAGGACATTCTTTCATTCAATTCAAGGAGTGTCTTCAGTTCTCTATGGTTTTGATCATTTCTTACTCTACAGTTTTACAAGCAAAAAATTGTTCTATAGGTTCTATTGTGAGTAAATCAAGCTACTACTACAGATAGTAGAATCCTGAAGTTAAAAAAAAAAAACTCAAGAAAACAATTGTAACAACAAAACAGAAGAGTTTTCAGTTGACAAAGCAGGTCTGTAAAAATGTGCAGAGATGAGGGTGGGTAGTAAAGGTGAAATCGGCGCATTTGACAATGAGTGGTTATCTTAAATCACAGTGAGTCTAGCTCCTTCTAGCATTTCTATACCTGGTAGCAGTAAATTGAGAAAAGCATTCAAAAGAATGAAGGACAGTCTTCCTATAGAATCTAATTTAAAATCTCAAATACTTTTCTTATATTGTAGAAGCAGCAGACAGAGCAAGCTTAGCAATTAGAATAACAAAACACGTGTAATAATTTGACTAGTTGCCTCTATTCAAAACTGTGTTAATATTAATAATTTTAATTTATATTGTTAAAAACTATAAATTCTCTAGATCAATCCATTATAGGTTAGTGTTATTCAAATATGTACCTTTTTAGAAGAATTTCTTCGTAACCTTTAAACATTTCACCTCATTATATCCACTCACCTTTTAAAGAAGAAAGGAAGACAAAGAACAACTACAGCATTTTCTCTCCAACTATTAACTTTCAATAACACGTGAACAATTTCTGGAAGTTTTTAAATATAATAACTTTGAAGAAACTGAGCCTATTGGCTTTAGAATCCTTAAGTTCAGTCTGTATATGTAAGTTTCACCTAAACCATCAATTGTGATTTCTCCTCTTCTCTTCCTCCCTACCTCTTCCCCTTCCTTCTCTATCTGTCATTTTTAATTATAAGCAAAATGAAATAAGGTACTACAAAAAAGATTTTATCTACGGAAATGGTAGAAAGTAAAAACACACACTGAGTTAAGGAAATCAAAGACATTGTTTATTGGCTACATTTACCAAACCTTTCTTTCTTGATCCATATAAACCAATCATGTCTGACATGGCCAGATACAACTCCAAAATATCAAAGACAGCTCACCTCTTTCAGTAGTCGTATGTGGAATGATAGAGGAGGAAACAATTCTACTTTTCAACCCCAGGGTGCAAAAGTACAATTCTAGATGATTCAACAGTTTCTGATAGCCCTGTCCCCCTTCACATAAGACTATTTTCCAAAAAAGCATCTCATTGACTTTGTTTTCCATACATCTTCCAAACCCAGAAGTAGATGAATTAAACAACATAAAAAGCTATATGAATTCTCTATATTTTATATGAAATTATGTCGTAGGATGTAACCTATAGTTTAGGTCTCCAATTCAATATTGTAGCAACCAACATAACTGGACAACATTCAGATCTATACTAGCCCAAAACAGTAAACTTCAAAGGTGTTCTAAATTTTAATTCAAAATTCTCCATTACTGATATCATCTGTAAAAACAGAAAGATCTAATTTCACTAAGCTCCTGTGGAATAAAGATCATCTCAGGCTAAGCTGAACCCTTAAGGTCTCTGTGCTATAATAAATGATGCTCCGGGAACCTCACTGAATTTTGATCAAAGTGATAAGGGTTATTGAAAGGAAGAAAAAAGCAAGTGTATGCTTTATTTGAGGGGATTTCCCACAACATGTTACTGAATAACACAGAATAAATTATCGAAGTTGCGAAGTACCACAAAAGTAGAAACTTACACTGCAATAAACTCAAATACGAAGTCTATTTTTAAATATAAAAAATAAAGCTACAATTTTACAAATATTCCCATATGTTACACCTACATAATCATTCAATAAATATCAAACTCATGGAGGAAAACTCCATTGTACAAGTTTCTTTCCAAAAGTAAACTGAGCTTTAAACCCCAAATCTATAACACCGAATCTATTCTGATTATAAATGCTGACATCAACTACCTGGTTTATTAATTCACATATGTCTATACTATCTTAACTTTACTATAACAAAATATTACTGAAAAGGTACTACTGAGCACATATTTATTGCAGTAAGTATTAACTCAAAACCAGGCAAAATTTTGCTCTGCAAAAGAATACAATTTAACTTACAATTTAAACCATAGCCAAAAAAAGGGAAAATCCTATGTTATGTATGAACCTCATAGCCCACCTTTCTTCTTGACTGGCATTCTTGGGTCTCTCCACTGACTCTGGACTCAAGATCTTTTTTCAACTCTCTGCTTGACCCAGCTGAATGGAGATGGAGCCAGGTTAACTGTTGCAAATCTCTTCACGGTTCAGCCTTGATATCCAGGCTGAGTCTTCTATTTCAAATAAAGAAAAAAATAATGCATTTCTCCACAACCAAACATTTAACACTGCTCACGGTGTTCGAAGGAAAAAAATAGCAAGTTTTTCTATTTTTGTAAAATATGTATTCTTGTTTCAAAAGCTGAGAAAGTTATCGTGCGCATAGAAAATGTTACTGAAACTCCTCTTCAGGCGGCAACACTTTCAGATGCTCAGTAACTGCCTCAGTTAAGGCACAAACCAATTTTAGGACCGTTGTCTTATTAATTTATACATGATCGAGATGGTTGGTAATAAAGAGCATCGATTTTTAGGAAAAAGTTTAAACTTCCCCTTCAAAAATACTTTTAAAAATGTCTTACTCTAGTCTTTTCAGGGGTGTGTGAGTTTGGACAGTTTTCTGGGGCAGAAGAGAGATTCAAAGGCCCCCTTCTATTTACTCGTTCTGTATCTTGCCCCCTCAAAACACGATCCAGCTTGTCACTTTCCTATATTTCTTCTGTGCTCTCCAAAGCCCCAAGGCTTGATCCTTAATGCCCCTCAGATCCTGATCCTCCTGTGTATTAACCGAGAGGATTGAAAAGAAGGAAAGCAATCCCTTGGCATGGAGACATTAAAGTGACAGTGCTATTCAATTGGCACTTGATGCAGGATGATTTGGCGAAGCAGACTTCTTCACACTGGAGTCATTCACATCATGCCGTCTCTTCGCAAACAAGCAGCTTTCTATCCGGCGAGGAAAAACACTAAGGCTGCTGGAAAGGAGAAACCAAACCTTCCCCCAAAGGTGTTTTCAGAGACGCCGTAGTAGTATTAGGCATGCAATCACACACTATGCAAATAGTCCGCGATTTCCTAAATGGGAGTACAGCTGTTTGGCTTCCACATCCACCCTTTCTCAGTCTCTCTCCAATCTACCCACCTTCCTTTTGCAGAAAAGACATTTCTCTGCCACCGCTGGCCACCCCTGCCCACACCCCGATCTTATACAGAAGAGCACCGAAATGTCCTGCACCCTCCACGCGATGAAGTGTTTCCTCGGGCAAGAGAAACAGCAGCACTAGAAATTATATAACTCTCGAATTTGGCTTGCCTAAGACATGGAGACTGGAGGGTCGGGGGTTGCGGGTCTGGCAGACGCTGCTGGGCATTTCACGTGCACGGAAGCGCGCCTGGCTTCCTCGCAGCACCCTCCATCCCTGAAACACTAGCCGACCAGGGCTCTTCGAGGAAGCAGGGGAAGGGGAGATTTCTAACTGGACCCTTTTCAAGCGGGGCTTGAGGGTGGACTATGGGGACTAAAGACTGGAGAGAGCAGGCTAGTCCGTGCTGCTGTGGCCGCGCCGGGGCGGCAGGCTGGAGCCTCTGAGGAGGAACCCAAGAAGCCACAGCCTTAACACACCGACCAGGCCGAAGGAACTACCAGGGATTGGCTACCCCAGCTGCCCTGAGGAGAAGGCGCGCAGCAACAGGCCTGCGCCCGAACCGCCCCTGGTTCCCTTCAGGTTAGCCAGGCTGACAAATTGGCAGAGGACAAGGCAAGGCTGGCTAGGGGCGGGCCCCTGGACCCTGAGCCTTTCTCTGAGCCAATGAGCGATCCTAGTTTGGGGACGCCACGCCCAATCCCGCCCGGCTGGAGGGCGCGGCTTTTGACTAGGTGGGGGCGGACCGGCCTGAAGGTACGAGCTGTCAGCCAGCGGCAAGTCCCGCCCCCGGCGCTCCGGCCACGCCCTCCTGTCAGTCACGTGAGGCGCCAAGATGGCGGCGTCCGAGCGACAAAGTTGCTCTGAATTGAGGGATGCTGTTGTGGTGCAGGAGGGAACTAGGGAAGCGCCCCAGGTAGGAGGAAATCTAGAGTGGTGTGGGTCGCCTCCTCGGAGATGATGCATGTGAAGGATCTGAGCAAATAGAACCTGTCCCGACTTTATGCAGGGTGTAATCAAATCTGTAGTTCCTAACAATGTAGACCTGAAGTCTACGCCGGATTAAATGTAGCTTGTTTCTCTTCCTCGAGGACCTTTTTACAAGACTTTTCTTCAATTTCAAATACTTTATCGCTTTACCCTACCCAGCCTGACCTCTATTTCTCTCATTCTGTTTAAGTCTCTTATTCTGTTTTAAGTCTGTTTAAGCCTTTTATTGATTTGGTGTGTACTGACTTAACGCCAGGTTATAATAGATTCTTGAATGCATTCACTCTTGATTACCTGAGAACCTGATATACACCACGGCTGTATGTGAGAATATTGAATAAAATTCTGAAGGTCAAATAATACACTTAAAAATAGAACACACAAACACTCCGCAGACCATACGCCCACACAAATGCACTTACTTGTATAAGGATGGTGATCTGATCCGTTGAGTGACTTTGAACTTCCTTAACTCTTAGATTAAAAGTTGGTTGTGGCAAAAATCTTCATTTTCAATTCTTGCTGAAAGACTTCCTGGGAATCTGAGGATGGAGCACTTATCAGGCCTGAAGCCCAACAACACAAAAATAAGTTTTAAAAAAAAAAAACCTCTGGGCAAGTTAATAATCAATATCTCCTTAATTAAGGAGAGTGTAGTGAAAACCTTGCAAATGCCAGATGCAGATGCCAAAATATTTGTTGTTGCTTTTGATTATTTCAGTATTGACTGTCCTGCAGCCATAATTGTAGAACCACTTTCCCCAGAGCTGTTTGAAAGGCCTGGAAATTTTCTGTGGGTACTGAAGAGGGCTGTTCAGGGAATTGGATGAGAACAGAACAAAAATTTCTTTAAGTTTTTTTTTTGATTAGCCATGATGCTATTGATAATCTGCCTTCATAGTATACTAGATGGATTGGGTAGAGAATCCTCCTTAGAAGATACTATTTCTTCTTCCATTTTTTCCATTTAGATAGCAAAAGGGGAACAATTAAAAGATTTAAGTCTAGTCCCTAAAAAAAAAATGATAATTCATAAACTATTTTATGCCCGCTCTGCCCCCCCCCTTTCTCATCTATCTTAAAGAAAAAGAACTGACTTAAATGCTGTTTTCTATTGAAACAGAAAAACTGGTCTTTTGATCAATTGTATACCACGTTAAGAAGATCAAGGAACCCATACTTTATGTGTGTTGATTTCCTGGAGTGAGGTTCCATTGGTTTTTCATTAATTTTAGGCTTTTTATATGCTCATCACCTACAAATGTTAACATGTCATCTGTAATGAGCCTTTGACTTTATAACTTTTCATGGATTAATCTAGAAAATGTGGAGAAAAAAATAAAAAGCACTGAACTTTGAATCAGTAGAAATCTCACTGATGAAATAAGTAAATATTTAAAACCAAAAATTTGGATTTGCAGGAAGTGTCCATATATCCTTGTTTGAATGAAATGAAATACTCCTAAGGTACATAATGCCATAGTGCCACAGGATTTAACAAGTGTTTCCGCAAAGACCCAGAAGTCTTATGTAGCCAGACACTCAGAAAGGCATTTGGAATTTCTTTTTTAATCCCTTGGTGAAGCCCTTATGACCTCTTAATGTGGGCAGCTATTGGCTTATCCTATGGGACACAGGGACCTCACAAACCCTGAGTTCATTCCCTTTGTCCAGGCTTCACAGTATAACACATAGCTGTTCCTGACAAAGACCATGCTTTCTACCCTAGGCCCTACTAGAAAACTGAATTACAACATAAACTCCAAGATAACCATGGTGCACTCCCACTTCCCAGGCTGGAACAGTTCCAAAGCACTTTCTGCTCTCTCCTACCTACCTTTACCCCAAAATGATTTCCAAAACAGGCACAGGCGTTCATGAGAGAAGACAAGTGTGGTGGTTTGAACAGGAATGGAACCCATAGACTCACATATTTGAATGCTTGTTTCATAGGGAGTGGTGCTATTAGAAGATATGGCCTTGTTGGAGGAAGTTTGCCACTGTGTGTGTGTGTGGGGGGGGTGAGGCTTCCTGTGCTCAAGCTATACCCAGTGTGATACAGAGTCTCCTGCTGCCATCAGATCAAGCCTGCCTACATGCTATCATGTTTACCTCCATGATGATAATGGACTAAACCTCTGAAACTGAAAGCCAGCCAACTCTTTATAAGAGTTGCCTTGGTCATGGTTTCTCTGCACAGCAATAAAACCCTAAGGCAATAGTAGATCTTTGTCCCTGGAGCTGAAAAATTATATCCTGATCCACAGGCAGCAGAGGCAGGCAGGCAGACAGACAGACAGACAAAGAAGCATCTGACCTGACATGGATTTTGAAATTTCAAAGCCCATGCCCAGTGAAATACTTCCTCAGACAAAGCCACTACTCCTAATCCTTCTAAATCCTCATATAATGCCAATGCCATTCCCTGATGACTAAGCATTCAAATATATGATCCAGTGGGGGGACGGCATTCATTCTTTCTCAGACCACACATATGTAAACACAGAAATACTCATTTTCTCGATTTTTATGTAACTAAAAAAAAAAAAAACAAAAACCCATCTCTTAACAGTTAAGAGCCCAGTAAATGTTGATTGAATTGTTTTTTTTTCAATATATGAAAGCAGATAACACAGTACCTAAAACATTCCTAGACTCTAAATGTACTTAGTCTGAGTATAATTTTATGAAGTTTTATTTAATATTAGTGTAGTTAGCTATCATGACTCTGGAATTTTGTGTTTTCCAGGACATCAAGATGGCACTTTATAAACATGGTCAGCTGATCCCTTCTCTAGGAGATGCAAAGTTCAGAAGCCCAATAACTCCTCAAGTTATAGAAAAGAAGTTTGAATACTATAGAAACAATGAGTAAGAGACACAGTGGTAACCAATTCAGCGACTTTTCTTGTGCCTATTCCCACTCTCTGAGGGTTAAGAAACTACTTACTTTTTTTGCTTCTGTTTGTCACCTCAAAAGTTTTATTTCCTGCGTAGTGTCACTATATAACATTTTGCCAAAATATTTTTCCTTTAGGCTTTCAGTTTCTCTTGCAATTACTCTGCTTCCAGTGGTAGCTTGAATTGCTATCTTAAACAGTTGTCTAAGAAGAGAATCTTCTAGATCAGTGGTTCTCAACCTATGGGGCACGGCCCCTTTGGGGGTTGCATCTCAGATATCCTGCATGTCATATGTTTATATTACAGTTCATAACAGTAACAAAATTGCAGTTATGAAATAGCAACAGAATCATTTTGTGGTACAGGGTTACCAAAAAAAGAGGGACTGTATTAAAGGGTCACAGCATTAGGAAAGTTGAAAACCACTGGTCTAGAGATTTACATATGGAGGTGGTGGGGTTGAGGAAAATTGGCAACAATGAAGTTCCAAAAGATACCTTTACAAAAGTCCTGAAAACACATCTAGTAAATAACTCATGGAGAAAGAAAAAATTATTTATTGAGTTGGTTACGAAGTGGACAAAAATGACAATAAATTGAAATATTGGTTTGTTAAACTATAGATAATTTCTTTTGCTTCTTTTTATAAGACTTATTCTGTGTGTGTGTGTGTGTGAGAGAGAGAGAGAGAGAGAGAGAGAGAGAGAGAGAGAGAGAGAAAGACTGCATGCCATTTATGTCTGCACATGCTAGAGAGCTTCCAGAGGAAGCTAGAAAAGGGCTTTAATGACAATGGAACTGTCATTAGAGGCTGTTGTAAGCCCTCAGATGTAGGTTCCATTCTTTTACTTCTTAAAAAAATGCCCAAACTTTTTGCTGAGATATTATTTGTACAAATATTTTTTTAATTAAAAGTAATTAGTATGAAACTATTTTGAAGGCTACTTATATTTTACTGATGGGCAGTTATGATTAGTCATTTTAACAAGGCTGGGGTGACGGCTTAGTGGCTAAAGCTCTGAATGTGTGAGGACTGCAGTTTGGATCCCTAGAAACCCATAGAAATTTGAGGTAGATATAGCAGTTCAAGCCTTCGAGGCAAAGAGAAGTGACCCCAGAGCAAGCTAACAGGCAATACTAGTGTGAGCTCTGACTTTAAGAGTCTGATGCTCATGATCTCAGCCGAAGTGCTGGGGGACAAAAAGGACTAGAGAATGCGGAAAGGACTATGACATGTTGATCCCATACTAGTATTTTGACTTTTATTAAAAGAAGGTTAAAGTAAATGACAGTTATACTTTAGAGCTTTCTTCATTCAGGTAGGAGCCAGAATTAAGTAAAACCAAATATGGCATATCTCATTCACTGAAGTTTTATAAACCACAGACAAATTATTTTAGAAGTGTCTGGACCAGTTCACAAGTAGTTCTTTTCTAGACAGGCTAACCATGTGAAAATAGCTTTTTTTCTAGGTGATCTTAAACAATTTTTTCTTTGAGACAATTATTTTAATAACAAGAAATATTAGATGCTGGGTAAATATGTGACTCATTTCAAGAATGATATGTTAAACTTTTCTCTTTGTTCCTGTTAGGACTTTAAATACACATGGAATGTTAGTCTTTGGAACATGTAGTGGTTTGTCTGGCATCATGGCAAACTTAGTTTTCAGAAACAGTTTCAAGGTTAAATATGAAGCTTTGAAGACCTATGCATCCTTGACTACACTTCCATTTTTGGCTACCATCGTTACTTACAAGCTCTTTGTAACTGATGCTTTGAAATCAGGTAAGTTTAAATTCATCAATGTATAATGTAGCTATAACAAATTAAAGTTACTTATTAATAAATATTTATAATACTCAAACATTTGTATATTGTTTTATATTTATATCTGTTGGTTTGCTCTACACAGTAGTCCTAATCATGCAAGATAAGCGATACTCTCCATAGAACTGGAGTTAGGAGTGGCTTTGAACCACCATGTTAGGACAGAACCTGGGTCCTCTGTAAGAGCAGCAAGTACATGTAGTGCTAATCTATAACTCCAGCCCCTCTAATCGTTTGTCTTTCTAATTTCTTCTCTAGTATACTGACTAAAAGCGTGCTTGCGCTTCCCACCCCACCCCCACCTCTCTCTCTTCAGGACAGGGTTTCTGTGTGTAGTCCTGGCTGTTCTGGAACTTGCTGTGTAGACCAGGGTAGCCTCAAACTAGATCCACCTGCCTCCACCTTTCTAGTGCTGGGATTAAAGGCATGTAACACCATGTTCAACCAGAGGTCTCTTTTTAATGACAGTTATATTCCTGGTAACTAGCATATATACCTGACACATAGTAAAAAATACATATGTCCAAGTATGTGGCATGATAGTTTAGTATTCTTACTGTGACATTACTTCTGTAAACCGCACACAGAAGTGTAATCCCAGCATTTGGGACACAGAGACATTTGAATATCTGTGAGTTTGAGGCCAGCTTGGTCTACAAGTTCCAGGACAGCCAGGGCTTTTACCCAGAGACACTTTGTCTCAAACACTAAAATAAAACAAAAAAAAGCACACATAAATAGTAATTCTCTATATGCTAACATACAATAAAGAGTTTCAAAACAAGATGAAATTAAGCCTGTTAAGTACCAGGCTTTGAATTCCTAATATTCTATCTACTGTTTACCTGCGGTTGCCAACAGCAAAGTAAGTGTGCTTTTATAGACAGCTTCATTTTAATAGTATCCTAAATCCAAAAGGGAAACTAACTTTTCTCTCACTTTCTAGGTAACCTAAGCAAGGAGAGCTGTGTTCTGAGAAGTTCACTGGTTGGTGTAGCATGTGGTGTTTCATATCCCAGTGCTTTGGCTTTTTATAAAAATGGACGTTTGGCAGTTAAGTAAGTCTGTCCATTCCTTCTCTTCCTCTTTTCTTTATTCTTGCTCACCTGATCCCCACCCTTCCCCGTGTGTGTGTGTTAGAGTGAGTGTGTGTGTGTGTGTGTGTGTGTGTGTGTGTGTGTTGGATATTCTGGGGATCAAACTTTGGTCCTCACAATTGCATGGCAAGCATTTTACTGACTGAACTATCCTCCTAGTCTTCCCTCCCTCCCTCCCTCCCCCCTTTGACTTACTTATTTATTTTACATATGTGAATACACTGTCACTGTCTTCAGACACACCAGAAGAAGAGGGCATCAGATCCCATTACAGCATTACAGGTTGTTGGGGGCCACCATGTGGTTGCTGGGAATTGAACTCAGGACCATCTGGAAAAGCAGTCAGTAACCACTGAGCCATCTTCCCAGCCCTGCCCTTTCTCTTTTTAGTTCTTCTCCTTTCTTTTTTTTTTTTTTTTATTGAGGGGATGGTGCTGATAAACTCTTCTTTTTTAAAAATCTACAGGCTAATCAAAACAAAATAGCCTACTAACATTTAATGTTGCTATCTACATGATAAACCTATACTGGAAATGACTAGGAGAAATGAGTAGCATTTGATAGCCATCGTTGACTCTTTTCCATTTTCAGGTATCAGACTGTTCCACTGCCACCAAAAGGAAGAGTTATGCTCCATTGGCTACTCCTTTGTCAAACTGGGATGAAAGCAATGGCCATTCCTCTGTTCTTTCAGATATTAATGGGAGTGTTTAGTGGCTTACATCACTACGGTGTATTTGAAAAAACACAAGCAAGATCTGTGCCTGATGACTAACCAAAGAACCAGTGGAGCCAGTTCAGTGGAATGAACTTCTTTATAATACAGACTTTGGCACTGGTCTAAGAGTGAAGAGTAACTCTGCTACTTTTGCCTAGTACATATCAGATACTCAGTAATTATAAATGTTATAAATGTTAAACAAACACAAGTTTCTTCTTTCTTTCTTCATTGTATATACGAATGGGTTTGGATCCTCAGATCTGACAGTGCAGATACAATGAGTATCTGGTATGCATCACACACTATGTGTATAATAAGAAATGATCCCTAAAGAAAGACTTCTTAGAAGAGGAGTAAGAAATATGAACACATGTTATAAGATAGCGTGAGGATACACACATACTTTGAGGGAACTGAAACTGTAACTGTTAACTAGGGCAGACGATGTTTAGGGGGAAAGTAACATGAGCTGGATATTAACGGAGGAATTGGAAGGTCATAAGAAAGGGAAATATGGGAAAATATAGAAGGTGGGAGCAAGCCTGAGATAACCCCCAGTTCAGCACCACAGGGCCTAGGTGGGCAGACTACATCCAACATGTCCCCTGCCTGGGCAGAGCAGAGCACTCCTGAGATAACCCCAAAGGCCCTAGGTGCCATTAAGATGAGCAGGTAAGTGGTAGAGAGATGGATGAGAAAGAGAAGCAGAAGGATACATTCACAACAGGAGTCAGAACTGAAGACCTGAGGGTAGTGAGGAACAGCCTGATGTGAGTAGCCTGTGATGCCACCTAAGGCTATGGTGAGGTCCTGGCCCATGCTGCTACCAAGGGCCATGTCTGGGTCCAAGGCTCGGCAGCAGCAGGGGGTCTGTTACCACCAAAGACTAGTGGACTTCTCTGGTCCAGGCTGCTGCCTGGGACCATGTTGATGCCTGAGGGCTGTGCAGGCTCCACCCCTCACCTGGGCATCTTAGGAGAGCTGGCCCAGAAAGCATGAGAGCAGGAATGCTGGTCCCACACATCACCAGCTACAGCACTTAGGAGAATGGGTCCTGCACTTAGCCCAGAAAGCAAGGTAGAAGGTAGAACTGGTCCTGGTTGCTGGGATTGCCGTGAGCCAGGACATGAAAGCAGGAGAGCCGATTCTGCCCCTTGCAACATTGGGTGAGCAAGTGCTGGAGAGCTCGCTGGAGTGGTATAGGTGCAAGGGAGCTGATGGACTGACCAGCTCAGCTACCAACCAGGCCCAGATCCAGGGCTTTGAGATGGGCCACACCATTATCTACCCCATCTGGGAACTGCTGGAATGCATGAAGAGGGCTGGCCCAAAGCTGCAGGATCTCCATCACACAGGGCAACAACAGAATATTTGAGAGGAGTCCTGATGAAGATCCAGAATGGATCAGTTACAGTTGGGACCCTTTGGATAAGAGGACTAAACTCCTACTCTCCACTTCTATTTACAGAAAACTTTTCTTACTTTCTCTTAGAGTCAAGCCCCACACATTGGGCAGCCATTGTAGGGATCTCTGTGACCATCAAAGTGATAATCCAACAGAGTGATGGTCCAAGTAGGCAGTTCAGGTCACCATGACTCAGTAGCTGGTGTGGGTTCAAACCCAAGAGTCTCACCTTGTGTGGTTTATTTCAGGCATATTCTAGCATAGCACTGTAGCAGAATATTTCTCCCACTACTTTGTATAAAGCTTGATGATTGGGCTGTAAGAGAGATAGATGGGGTGAAGAGTCAGAAGGAGAAGAGAGAGCTGTAGGAGCCATGGAGGACCACGCATGTATCGAGAGCAGTCCTGGGTAACAACTTACATCTAGGTTAGTTAATGGGGTAACACCTCTAATTATGTGGTCATCATGTTAATTAACCATTAACAAATATATAAAGCCGTTGGATAATCTTTAAGCATTAGAGCCTCATTTCTACCAGGTACCGAGTGGATGGTGGGATGGTCTGGGCTCAGTCAAGCATTGTGGAGATGGCGTGGTAGATTGGCAGAGCCACTGGCATCTTGTGGGTGTCAGGGCTGGTGCTTCTGGCCAGCCTGAGCCAGCAGTCTGAGCTGAGTAGCTGCAAGAGCACACTGCCATTCGTGGCCTCAGGCCTTGCCTAGTCAGGAACATGGCGGTCCCATAACAACAAGCTAGATTGGGTGCTGCCGATTTAAATAGTAACTGCAACACAGCATACTTTGGTAAAAGTTTCCTAGTGATAATTAACTCAATTCCAAACACACAACAAAGCTTAAGACATGACTACATCAAAACTGTAAAGTATAGGTGACATCTTTCATAAAGATAGATTCTAATAGATCGGCTGAGAAAAGCAAGCACGTAAGGGTCTGGGGGAGGATTCAGCATTGTCTTGGTCACACAAATAGATTACCAGGCTGTGAATCATGTCAACTCCCAGCTTCTGGGTGAAAACTGGTGTACATTTCTCCCTTTGAAGAGACAACTCCATGTGTTTAACATTACCAGTTCTCAACCTGTGAGTCATGACCCCTTTGGCAAACTTCTATCTCCAAAATTATTCTTGATTCATAACAGTAGCAAAACTACAGTTATTAAGTAGCAATGAAAATAATTTGGGGGAGGGCGGTCACCACAGCCTGACAAACTGTATTAAAGGGTCACATCATTGGGAAGGAGGAGAACCACTGCCCTTGTGTTATCTCTGAACATAAGGACACCTATGCATCCTACAGAAAAACATCCCTCTGCTCTCTGCCCTGAATCAGTATACAAAGCATACTCTTATTTACACAAATTGTCTGTACTTACAATTTAAATATCGTACATCTATATGTTGTATTAAAAACCAGAAGTGTCATGATTCAATCACTGTTCTCAAGAAGGACAAAATCTAAAGAATTCACAACACCTCTTTTGGAATCTGCTAAGACATTCCTCAACTGTGTATTTATCTTCATTCTGAAAATAAACACTGATGAGAAAAGTTATGGAATAAAATCCCACAGGTCATTCTTGTATATGATTATATTAGAAACTGATAACACTGGAAATTCAGCTGGGTTGGACTTTCCTCCTTTCCTCTGCCATTTGAAACTTGAATCACCAGACCATACTTATCTACTTCAAACTGTCTTTTCTAGGACTAGAGAAACGGTTCAAAGTTTAAGAGTACTGTTGCTCAGACTGAGGACCATAGTTGAGATCCCAACACCCATATAACAAGCTAGACATGAGCCCATGCATGCCTATGACACTAGTGCTGTGTGGGGCAGAGACAACAGGAACACTGGATTCTATGTCTACCTGCCTTGCCAAAACCCACAAAGTCCAATTCAGTGAGACCCTGGTTCAATAGGAAGACACCTGATGCCCCGGGTGTCAGTGCATGAACACAGGCAAACATGCACATGTGCACACATACACACACACACAAACAAACACACACACGCACACACACACACACACAAACATGAATACATGCATATTTTCTACAATCAAAAATGGCCTGTTAGGCTTCAGCCCAAAGGTGAAGTTGAATTAGTCATGGAAAGCATCAGGGTTCTGGAGGCAAATAGCAAGAATGTGCTGGATCAGATCCCGGCTTCGCTAGTGACCAGCGGGTGACTTCCAGTAAGCTACTTCACAGAAATGAGGATTAAAACTCACATGCATCATTAAACAGGATAGAGAGATCAAAACAGTGCGTACCCAACTCTTAGGAAGTCTGTTAGCTGCTGTCAGTCTATTTGAGATGCTGAAAGAAATGTTACCAACAGGCTTATAAGCAGCAGGATGTTCTCACAGTGTGAAGGATGAAAAATCCAAGATCAAGGAACCTGCTGTTTTGGTCCTGTACTGGCTAGTTTTATGTCAATGTGACACAAGCTACAGTCATCCTAAAGGAGAGAACCTCCATTGAGAAGATGCCTCCATAAGAGGCAGTATATATCAACTATAGGGTATTTTATTAGTGATTGATGGGGAGGTGGGTGGGGGGAGGGGATCACTGTGGATGATACTACCCCTGTGCTGCTGGTCCTGGGTGTTGTAAGGAAGCAGACTGAACAAACCAAAGTGAGCAAGCCAGTAAACAATATTCCTCCATGGCCTCTCCATCAGCTCCTGTAGCCATGTTCCTACCCTGTTTGAGTTCCTGTTCTAACTTCCTTTAATGATGACCAGTGATGTAGAAGCATAAGCCAAATAAACTCTTTCTTTCCTGAGATACTTTGGTCATGGTGTTTAACCACAGCAACTGTAACCCTAAGATAGGTGTCTAGGGAAGGCCTGCTTTCTGTATCAAAAATGGCTCCTTTTTACTGTATTATTTCATGAGGATGGAGCAAACAAGGTCTCTGGAGTCTCTTGTATAAAAATACTAATCTTATTCCTAAGGGCAAAGTCCTAACTACATTCCAAAGACCCACTTGCTAACACCATCACTATAGAGGTTGCATTAATTACTTTCTATTAATAATACTGTGGTGGTTTGAATATGTGCTTTGCCCAAGGAATGGCACTGTTAGGAGGTGTGGCCTTGTTGGAGTAGGTGTGGCTTGTTGGAGGAAGTGTGTCACTTTGCGTATGAACTTTGAGACCCTTCTTCTAGCTGCCTAGAAGACATCTTCTCCTGTTTGCCTTTGGAACTAGATGTAGAACTCCCAGCTCCTCCAGTGCCATGCCTGCCTGGATGCTGCCATGCTTCCTGTCTTGATGATAATGGACTGAACTTTTGAACCTGTAAGCTAGTCCCAATTAAATGTCCTTTATACGAGTTGCCTTGGTCATGGTGTCTCTTCACAGCAATGGAAATCCTAAGACAAATACATATATATAATATAATTAATATATAATAATAATATATACTATAATACATACTAATATAAAAATAAACACATGATTAAGGCAACTTGCACTAGAGTTTGTTTGGGCTCTAGAAGGTTAGAGTCCATGAGGGAGGAACAAAGGCAGGGACAGGAAGCTGAGAGCTCACATCTTGAGTGTAAACATGGAGCAGAGGACAGCAACTGGGAAGTCGTGGGGCTTTTGAAATCTCAAAGCCTGTTCCCAACGACATACTTCTTCCAACAAGGCCACACCTGCTAAGCCCTGCAAACAGCACCAACAGCACCACCAACCAAGGGCCAAGTGTTCAAATTCATGAGGATATTGAGGGCATCTCATTCAATCTACCACAGAAGTTAGGGCTTCAGCAAATGACACTGTGGGAACAAAAACAGATTATAGCAGCTACCATTAGAGCTGCTGTTACCAGCTAGAGGGCTCAGTGGTTGTGGGGGTTTGAGTGAAAATGGGCCTGATAGACTCAAGCATCTGAATTCTTAGTCCCTGGTTGGTGGGTATTTGAGGAAGGATTATAGGATGTGGCCTAATTGAAGGAGGTGGGTTTTTTAGGTTTCAAAAGGCCCACAAAAGCCAAATCTATCTATCTATCTATCTATCTATCTATCTATCTATCTATCTATCTCCATCTCTTCCTTCTTCCCTCTCTCCTTCTCTTCCTCCCTTCCTCCCCTCCTCTCTCTTATGTATCAGTTGTGAGCTCTTAGCAACTACTCTAGCAGTCTAAAAAATATGAGCAAATTAAACATTGAAGAAATACATCTCATTATAGTAAATGCCATATGTGATAGCCCTATAGTTAACCTCTTCCTCACAGGGATAAAGGTTATGCTTTTCCTACAAGAATAACATTACCACTCTCATGCAAAATAGCACCAATAAAGTACTAGTCAGAGCAACCAGACAAGAAAAAGAGTAAAGATCATCCAAATGGGAAGGGAGAATAATGTATCCTTGATTGTCGGTGATGCATTTGTGATCCCAGAATACCTAGAATCCACTAAAAACTATTCATACTAATACATTTAGCAAAGGTGGAGAATATGGAATCAATGTACAAAATCAGTAGCATTTCCACAAACCAGTACTTAACTAGGTAGGCTAAAGACTTCCTTAGACTCAAAATGGGCACAAATTCATCCCCAGAAGATCTGCATCCTAGAAATGTGAAAGGATTTTGAGTTCTAGATTTAGAAAATAATGAAGAGCCCTGAAAATGACAAGTAGTCATTTTTTAAAATTTTTTGTTTCTTTTCAAAAATGTTGAAAGAAAAAAATGACAGCTTATGTATCCCAAGAACCTGAATTTGGGACCTATCACCTATGTAAAACATTATGGTGAGCACATGTGTGATCCCAGTATTGAGGAATAGGAGGATCCTGGGTTGCTGCCAGCTATTGTTGCTGAGTTGGTGAGTTCCAGGGTCCATATAGACCCTGTCCCAAACAATAATCAGAGAGTAATAGAAGAAGGCACCCAATGCTGATCTCTGCTAACCACATGTACACAAGTGTGTACACACCCATACATGTGTGTCAGAACATGGTCCAAGAATGACCATGTGAGTTGTGACAAAACTCTAAGAAGTCATAACAAGAGCTTTGTAACTTCAGTCTCTTCAAAAATACGGAATTGTTCTTGGATTATGCTTTCTTGCCCTTCCAGGTATAGGGGATAGGAGTAAGTTTACAGCAAATTATTCATTACAACTGGCTATTGTTATTTATTTATATGCCTGTATGGAAAAGCATGCCCTCCACATGTGGCTTGGCCTTTTGAGGGCACACTTAACTCATGGGATTCCTCTTAGCCCTCAGAGAAAAAATTGTCTGATGCTCAGAATAAAGTTGCCTATTGAATGATACTTTTACTCTGTCTCATTTATCAGCTCCATTCTCCCAGGTCCCACCACCTCTAGAGTGGTAAGCACGTGTGTGAGCATGTAGTCCCTGAACAGCATGCCACAAAAGCTATCAAAGCGGTGCAAGACCCTTCCTTCCACACCCCCACCACCAGCCCACGGCTGCCACAATAAAATGTCCCCACAAGAGTTGTCCCAAATGACTGCCAAAATGGAAGCACCATGACATCTTTTCAGTCTACAGCTGTCACAGGAGCTACAGGAGCTGTGCACGGTGGCGTACTGCCATCCCAGCCCCTGCAAGAGCAGTCCCAGGGGAGCTGTCTACAGTACTAGGGGAGTTGGGCACCACTTCCTCTCCACCCACCCACCTCACACCCCAGCAGCCCCACAGAGATACCACATGCATCTGGGAAGGACTTATCACTCTAACCCACTCATGAGCCTAATGCAGGAAAAAGGATGAAAAAGAGGCACCAATCCCTGAGCGTCCCACAAAAACCCACCAGTCCCTGAGCAGGAAACCCACCAATCCCTGAGCTGGAGAACTCACCAATTCCTGAGCTCCCCAAGCTCAGGACTTGAAATCCTACCAATCCTCACTCTGAAAATCTCTGCCCTGAAAAGCTCCACCCCTCAGAAATGCTATATAAGCCCTGATTTTGTCCGGTTCCCTGCTGTGCACTCCTGGAGATAGAAAACAGCCATCCCTGGATTCGTCCCTCCATCCCTTGAACCCTCCAATGGTATGGTATCTTTCATGGGATTTTCTGCCTGGTGTGACTCGTTGGAAGAAGCCAAGAAAAAAAGAAGCAGTGAAAAGAGGAAGAGAGGAAACGAAGGGGCGGAGTGGGGCTGAGACTCCTAAGCTCCTCAGCTTAGCTAAGGATCCCCTCCCCTAGGAGCTGCCATGCCTCTGCTGAGGAGGCAGCCTCAAAGCTGTAAGGTTCCTGAGCTTCTGTGTCTCAGGATGATACCCTTGCCTTGGGACACTGTCCCACCTCAGAGCTGTGTGGTTCCTGGGTCAAGTCCCAGGATACTCTTCCATTGGAGTAGAAACACAGTGGACACACATGGGAGGCCTTTCTTATAGTAAAACTAATCAAGTTTTGGGAGTAAATATGTTTATATTAAAGTAGATTTTATAATAAAGAGTATTACCAAGGAACAAGCAGGACATTTCACAATGATACAAGGATCATTGGTCCTTTATTCATATAATAACAGAACTTGAATATGTATGACAATCTGAAAAGAAAAGGAAATTTTTCTGTAACAGTTGGAGAGTTCAATAACATGTTACTTAATAGAAAAGTTGCTATAAATTAGAAAGGATGAAGCACACTCAAGCAGTACTGTCCCCTGAGCATAGTGCCACGTGCCTATATTCCCAGATGTTCCAGAAGTTGAGAGAGAGAAATCATTTATATTCCCAAGAGTCTCAGGCCACATGGGTAACACAGATCCCACCTCTACAAGCACAGAACCACCAAAGGAGCATAATCACCCAGTTTGTCTAAATTGTTGCCTTCAGGAACTCTTGACACAACAGAAGAGTACACACTCTTTTCATACACACATGAAAACCAATTTGGACCAGAACCTGCACTATAAATGTCAATATATTTTTAAAGGATTCAAATCTTACTGAGTATGTTCTCCAACCACTGGAGAATTGAAACAGAAATTTTAAAATAGATTAGGAAACCAAGACACTTCTAGATAGCCCATAGATCAAGAAACCTAAGAGAAATTACAAGACTTTTTAACTAAATGAAAATAATTTTTTAATTTAAAATTAAATTTCGAACTCTGTGAAAGCAAAGAGGTCTTATTAGGGAATTTCTGACAATAAACACACACCAAAGAGCAAAATGGTTTCAAACCAATAACCTCATCTATGCATATCCTTAGAAAATTAGGAACAAAAAGAAAACTTGTATAGAAAATAAGTAGCAGAGAAGAAAAATCCAAATTGAAAACATAAAACCCAGTATTTTTTTAAAAAAAAAACAATGACACAAACAAAAAATTCAAGAAGATGAAAATAATTATAATCAATTAGCCAGACTGATCAAGCATCAAAGATTCAGAGAAACAGTCAAGAGAAGACATATGAGGTCACTGTAGGAGCCATAGATGTTAAAACATAAGGGAATATTTATGAATAGTTTAATCCGATAAGCTTGGAAATTTAAACCAAATGGACATTTCATGTTGTCCTGAGAAAAGTTTTGAAGTTCAATCTAAAAGATTTCTACAAGTAGAACAGCCAAATATCTATTATAGATGCTGAATTTATATTACAATCCTCCCAACCAGGAAAACGTAGGGCTCAGAAGTCTTCTGTGATGATTCCACCAAACATTGAGCAAATAACATCAAAATGATACAAACGCTCCCAGAAAGGAGAGAAGTGAGCAACTGCCAAATTATAAAGTCAGCGTTACCCTAATCCCAGCACCGGACAAGGAAAGTGTAAGAAGGGCTGGGGAAAAACGCTCAGTGCTTAAGAGCAATCGCTGCTCCTGCAGAGGAACCGGGTTTGGTTCCACAGGAATCGGAGTAAAGTCTTGTTTGTTTGTTTGTTTGTTTGTTTGTTTCTAGAATTGACTTGATGCCTCTCGGATCAGGAATCTTCCCGGACAGGGATCTACTCATTCTTCTGATAAAATTCCAGGACTCTGTTTAGTAAACGTCTTTATAGTCTATTCACAATTTTACAGAATTACCAGATAAAGAATTTTGCCCTTTCCTGTTTTACAGATGCATACGAGAACTGAGACAAGCGCCTAACATTGGTTTCCAGTGGTGCTTTTACCCTAGGCCCCCTGGCGGTTTTGTTTGGAACTCACACTATACATAGACCAGGCTGGCCTCAAATTGACAGAAATCTCCCTCCCTCAGGCTACTGAATTCTGGGATTAAGTCTGCGTTATCACGCCCGGCTCCCTTATTTCCGAACGGTTACTTTTTCAACACATCTACCTAACCCTGTTTCACATAAGCAGTGTTCTGGAGGACACCGGGAATGCTAAGGAAAAAAAAAAAGCGCTGGCTGTGCAATTGTTCACGTTCTGCTGGAAGCCACCCACAGCACAACACGGCACAAAGACCTGAAGATCCAAGAGAGAGAAGGAGCAAAAAGTCAGCCTCAGGCTAACAACTTCAGTGTCAGAGCTGCCTTCACCAGCCGGTAGCCGAGAGGCTGCCACGCGGCCCGCGTCAGGATTGGGGGACTCGGAAGTCGGGCTCTGAGCCCAGCCGGCGTGGTGTCGAGCACCCAGCCACCGCCGGATGGCTGTTTCTGCAGGCTCTACCCGGGATAGGCTAGCGAACCCACCAACCCTCACCGCGACTCCCCAGTTTTGCGTCTCCCGGACCGGAAGCCCCTGGACAGGAAACAGAGGCGGAGACAGAGTCACGTGTGAGCCAAAGATGGAGCCCAGGCGACCCTAGCGAAGGTTGTGGTAGACTAGGGCGCGGGAGGACCTGGGCAAGCACGGGTGGCTGGGGAGGTGGCCATAAGCTGCCGTCCTTCTGCCGAGTGGTGAGTAGCTGTGCCAGTGTCGCGCTGGGAGAGGCGCGGGGTGGCCACGAGGGAGGGGGAAACTGTGTGCGCTGAGCTGGTCTTCACTTTCCACCCCCGAGGGAAAGACCTGGCTGAATTTATTGAGTTTTAATTTCAGAATTACTGTCAATTTACAAGATAACCTTGGCTAAGTTTAATTTTCCGATGCTCAGGTTTTATGCAGAAACTTTCGGAAATCTTTGTAGTATTTCAAGGTGTCATTGTCTTTGATGGGGATTTATTAACTGAGAAATAATACCTGGAAAAAGAAACAGGACTTGAATCCTGGGAACCTGACCTAAACTTCTAAATCTGCATTGTACTTTCGAGGTTAAATTTTAGGTCGAGATTTATGGAATTTTGCACATGCAGCATTTTCCAAGTCATTTCTATATATACAACAGGTACCCAAGGTTTGGTAAGGCATTGTTCCACTGTTGTCGCAGGTAAGTACGAATGGTGACCCAAGACAGTCTGATTTATATCAGGTTATTTCTGGATTTTGGTTTATTGTTACTACTGTTTTATCTTTTCGAAATAGGGTCATGGAGTACGTCCGGGAACTCACAACCTTCCTGCCTCAGTTTCCCAATATTGCAGGTGTCACAACCCTCCTTACTGTCTCAGCTTCCCCGTAGTACAGATGTCACCACAAGTGGCAGACCTTTGCTTTTCCTGTCACCCAGAAGTTATGTTTTTAAAGAGCCAAATCTACACAAAAACTAATCCGCCATTCTTCTACCCTGATAGTCATCCTATGTGTCTACTGACCTATGGGCCATTTTCTGTCTAAAGGGTCTGTGCACCGTGTGTACCGTGCCTGCATAGGCCAGAAAAGGGCATCAGATCACCCTAGGCCCGGAGTTACAGGTGTGAGCTTCGATGTGGGTGCTAGGAGTTGAACCTGGGTCCTCATAACCCTCATCCTACTGCGCCATCTCTCTAACCCTTGATGCCTAATTGTCTTTACAAAATGGTTATACTTACTTAAAATACAATTTAGAGTTCCACCAGCAGCATGTCACAGCTTTGCTTCCAAGTGAAATTTTCTAATTTTAACTACCTGTGTACCCAATGACATTGCTATGTGATCTTAGTTTTCCACCTAATGCTTTTGTCAAGGTTTACTGGCTGTTGGTTTTTCTCATCTTCCCTGCGCCTCCTCCTGCCCCTCCACTTGAGTTTTCATGTAGCTCTGCTGGCCTCAAATTCCAGTATCATCAAGGATAGCCCTGAGCTGATCCTGCTGGGCCTACCCTCCAATTGTTGAAACTACAGGCATGTCACCATGTCTGAATTAAATCATTTCATATCTGTTTCACGCCTGTAGTAATTGCTTAGGAAATCAGGATTGTGGAGTGTCTCTTAAAAACTTAAGAGCTACTTTTCATGTTCAGGTTTCTGTTTTGCTGTATTGGGGGAGGGGAATCTTTTGCTGTATGCTATATATACATTGACCTTTCAGATTATAAAGTTAATCTACAACTCTTGCATAATTATGCATCTCAGAAGACTTTTTCTAGATATGATTATTTTTTAAGTGGGACTGTTATGTTTTTAGGTCCAAGATGGAAAGTCATAAACCAAGTACTAGCAAAGATGATTTAATATTTAATATCATATCCAGAAAAATTAAACAACTTCCAGAACCAGACAGGTAAGCTTCCTTTGTGTTAAAATATCTTTACCAAAATTTAAAGGATTATGCATAAATAACACAGGATACCAAAGGAAACTGAGTTGTATTTTTGTGTTGATGAAAAAAAACAAAAAACCCTGAAGCCCAGAGACACTACCATTTTGTGCGTTGTATAACTTGTGGAAACTGATTCAGGTTGACTCTGCCTAGTCATGAGACCTCTAAGAGGAGGAAAGGGAGCTAGTATAGGAAGAACAGGAACAGGATCATAGGAGAAGTGACAAAGCCAGGACCTGTCATATTTGAGGAAAGTGTTATTGAAACATACAGGAGGTGGCTATAAATAGAGTTTCAAGCAGGAAAATAAAAATGGATCCAACTAACTTTACTGTCTACTCCAGTCAGTTTGGGTAATAGGTTTAAAGTAGGTAAGAGGCACTAGCAAAGTAGGTACAGACAGCTGAGATAGAAGATGTGAAACATTACCGTAGCAACTGATCCATCTTCAGGTGTGAAGTCACGCCAGTTCCACTTTTGGTTGGCACTTAGCATCTTACAAGAGAGAGTCTAACCTATAACTGAGCAGTAGTTAAGAACTTGATAAATCTCAACTGCTGTGTATCCCTTACCACCACCCCTACATAGACACCCCGATTTAGGTGTTTCCTCAGACACAAAACAGACCACTCACCCGAGGTAGGGGAAGCTGTAATGACTAGTGTAAGAAACTAAGATGACAACTGAACAAAGGAAGAGAGCAGGCTCCCAGTGGGATCCTCACCAAATTAACAAGGAGCACTGGGAACTGAGCTGGAACTCAGTTGAGCTGAACTTAGTTGAGCTGAACTCAGTTGAACTTAGTTGAGCTGAGCTCAACTAAGACTTATCTTGCAAACAATAAAAATGTTTCATTTCAAAACCACAGCAACTTGCAATCTAGTTGGGAGACAACCAAGTGTTCAAGTTTCAGCTCAACTATTTCTGAGCATGGTTAAAGTAGGGGTGAGTCCTATTTCATGGCTTTATAAACGTGCTTGAGTTCCCATTTCTTTAACCCCTACAAAATCCAGACTTCTCACATTGGGTCTGTAGTTCTTTAGTAGTTTTCTAATTTCCTGAGTTGTCTTTAGACTTCTGAAAACCTCAACTTCAATGTCTTCTCATGTAGCCAACTATGAAAACCTCCAAAGTAGAATGAGCTTTCCTTGTGTCTTTAGCAACAAGTCACCTTTTACATAACTGGTTCTCAGTGAATGAAATGAAAGCACGATCTTACACAATGCATGACGCTTCAGTAGTGATGACCTAGAAAAGCTTTAAAATAAGCAAATACAGAAGCTAGTGGAGGTGAAGAAATGGGAAACATGAAAGTAAACCATACTGCAGCTCACAAAACAAGTAGTGAAAACGAGACTGAGTTGTAAACTGAAGGGCTTATTCAAATTATACTATATAGTTTTAGGTAAGCACAGAGAACATATATGTTGGCTTAAAATTCATTTATCTCAAATTACTAGTTAAATTTTCATCAATGAGCTACTATAAACTCCCTAGTATAGTCTCACTGTGATGTTAGTACCCAGACTCCTAATCTGAATATTAATACTTGATGCAAGAGTAAAAGGAAACACACTAACTCTGTATTACTGAAACAGTTGGATATACATCTTAAGTTGTTTATAGATACAATGAGTTTAAGTCGGTAATTGATAAACAGTACTACCATAGAATGTGTTGTGATCTTTAAGTATCATCAGAACTCAAAAAAGCCAGGCATCTTCCTCTTCAGAGCTGTTTCCTGTTATATAATTTGGGGCAAAGTTCTAAACAGTTCTTCTCTAAAATTCACAAAATGCATACATAGCTAGTGCCACTGTCTCCTTAATGTATTACCCAAATTCAGAAACTTTTGAATAAAAATGTAGATGTGAAGATTTGTCTTTGGATTTATGATCCTGGAAGAGATAAGTTTGTCTGATTCTTCCTAGGGTGCTGATAAGTTCTGTAACATACCAGAAATAGAGAACTTACCCTAATTTTGGTAACAGGTTATTATTTCCCTCATCCTCAGGAATCTGCTTGAACATGGATCAGCATATATTGGCCTTAATGCTGCTTTTGGGGGCCTAATAGCAAACAGTCTATTTCGGCGAATCTTGAATGTGACACAAGCTCGAATAGCTTCTAGCTTACCAATGGCTGTGATCCCATTTTTGACAGCAAACCTGTCCTACCATAGTTTTGTAAGTTTACCTTTGACTACAGGTATGTTTTATTTCATTATCACCTAAGTTTGCATTTGCGTATACTAACCATAGCTTCACCCCCCCCCCCCAAAAAAAATTAGAACCAAGTAGCTGTGGGCTATAATGAAGTACTTAGGGAAGACCGAATCTTATGCAACAATTGATTCACATTAGGTCTGCAACCAACCACAGTACATACATACACAGCAGTCACATTTCCCTGATCTAAAGCAGCATTCCCACAGTGCTGCCTTTGCTTCTTGTTAACTTGCACATTATATGCAAGTTTTCCTTTTTAAACTTTAAAAAATATATTTACGTGTATGAATGTTTTGTCTGAATGTACATTTGCACACCAGGTAGTGGTGCTGGGTCCCATGGACTATAGTTACAGATAATAGTGAGCTGTCACATGGGTGCTGGGAATTGAACTCAGCACTTCTGCAAGAACAGCCATTGCTCTTAACTGAGTTCTCTCTCCATCCCTGTATGGAAGTTCTTTAAAGTGAGAGTATGTTGTGGTAATACAACTCTGTAATCTCTGAAGTACTATGTGCATGTGTAGTATTTAGCAAAAAGAGAAACATTTGAGCTTTATTTCTGTACCATGTCCTGAATGTGTTGTGTGTCCTGTTATGTATGATCCTTCTGATTAAAAACAAAGATAACATCATAGGGGCCAAGGAGGTCAATTTTGTGTTTTCGCCTAAATACTAATCCAAATTTCTGAGAATCCAGTCAAGATTTGTATTCCTGTTTATCATTATTTCCTATCCAAGGCCTTACTTAATACATGCTAAGCCATACCACCAGGCTACAATCCTCTATAATTACTCCTTTGGGCAAATTTGCAAGATCATTTTTGCTGTGTCACTGTATCACATTTGCTTAAATATCATAACCATCACTTATTTCCTAGGTGATTTGAACTGTGAAACCTGTACCACAATGCGGGGTGCACTAGTTGGTTTTGTGCTGGGTGGTCTGTACCCTATCCTTCTGGCTATACCGGTGAATGGGGGCCTTGCTGCCAGGTAGGACTGTTTTCTTACTTAAAAACCTTCAATTATATAACTACCTAAGTAACTCTGAACTTAAAAACAGCAAATATATTCTCATGTTAAGTTATTTAGGCCAAAGGCAGTATTTCCCTCCTCAGGAGTCTTTAAGATATTCTGTCATGCTGTGCCTCTTGGTGTTTAGTTCAGGTCACTGATCTTTATTTGTGTATTAAATGCTTGCTACACAAGCCAGTGTTAGTACTGTAGATCTAGCATAACAGCTGTACCATATAAAGTATAATTGAGAGTGTGCACATCTGTCCTAAAGGAATAAATGTATAAATGTTATCAGAAAAGTGCTACCTTTAAGCCTTCCACAATTCCAGTTACTCTGAATTCTTGTAGCAATCTATTCTGTGTACCTCCGGAGGGGAACTAGAGAAAGAGGCAGCACCAAAAAAAAAAAAAAAAAAAAAAAGAACCATTTTTTAAGACTAAGACACAAAAGAGAATGGCTGTAATCAAAGTGTCTATGAAACCAAACAATGAATATATATCAATAAAATATTATGTTTAATCAATATGCTTTCTTACAGGTATGAATCAAGCCCTCTACCACAGAGGGGAAACATCTTCAATTACTGGATTACAGTTTCTAAGCCTGTCTTTAGAAAAATGTTATTTCCTACTTTACTTCAGACTGTGTTTGCATCGTATCTTGGGTCTAGACAATATAAACTCCTCATAAAGGCCCTTCAGTTACCTGAACCTGACTTGGAAAATTCATTGATTTAAAGCAAATATGTACAACAAAAATAAAATGGTGAAAATAATCTTGTCTGCAATTTAAAAATAAGGTACAACCCTGACCTGCAATTAAAAACTACACACAAGGTGGAACTCCAATAAAAGTTACCAAAGGGGCATAGTTTTGAGGCTGGGAGTGTAAATTAGTGGCAGATGACTTTAACTAGCTCAACAAACAAAAATCGAGTAATTTCTCTAGTTTGCCCAATGCTGTTTCTTATCCATTCCTAATACCACTCCTTTACATTAAAGCATTTAGTTTGGTATAAAACACAAGAAACATTAACTACATAGCAACTATCTACAGTCCTCCCAAAGCCAAGCAGGAAGGAAAAGTATTGTTTTTTTTTTCTTCTTAATTTGGGGTGTTTCCTCATAAAGGAGTAATCCTGGCCTAGATCCTTGTGAAGCTACAGAATTTACAAAGGTAATCTATTACGGGGTAGTTCTTTAGATTTTCAGGACTTGAGCTCCCTCCTCCAGCCATGCATGGTGCTGAGCAAGTTAACTTACCTGAGTTACTCATTAGAGTAACCTTGCTCATTTCATTTCTCTAGCACAGCACCAGCTTTACCCTTACCATCAATTCTGTTTTCTGAACTATGTGGAGTCATGTCCTCAGATCCTTTGTTTCTGGAGTGATCTACTGTATTCTTTAAAAGTGTTTCATACCCTTCTTGTTTTAATCTACTCCTTTGGAATTGGAATGAACATTGTCCAATTCCTGTGATCACAAATACCTACCTGTACTGTTAATATTATCCACTAGCAACACACTGCTTCTAAGATCATGAAATGTGGATACAGTCTCAGTAACACTCATTAGATCAATTCTCTTTAGCAAGCTAGTCACCACAAAAGAGAATATCAAAGTCTAAAACCATACTAAGTATGGTTTCATTCATAGTACATCTTAACTATTCCTTCTAAATACTGTGTCTTGTTGATTTAGAAAAGGCAGCTTTAGACATATTAAATAGGCTTTTATTGAAAGAAAAAAAATACTCAGGTATGCCTAGCAATTGGGAAGAAAAAGCAGGGCCATTCTCTCAGTTTGAGGCTAGTGATTTCTAGTCCAACAAAACAGGCTACTACTAAAATTTTAGTCAAATTTAGCAGTTTTCAGAATGCTGCGATTTGTTCTTTCAAAAAGCACATGAAATGTATTCTCTATTGCTTTTTTAAAGTATAATTATGAGGGAAGTTTCCAAGAGTTTACTCTATCTTCCCCGGGGTTAGTTATGTGATTTCCTTTGCTTTCTTTCTAGAGTTCCCAAGATTTAATATGCTTTACTTTTAGAACTGGAATGTGAAAATGTGTTTTGCCTATTTTACAAGGAATAATAGCAAAAGCAAAGGCTTTCTGATACAAAGCTGCCCACCTACATTCTCACTTTTACTTAATGCATTAATTCAATTGATCAAAGTAAAAATAATTTATTTAATATAATTACTAGATTTCTTAAGCAATACAGATGGTGTATAATCAACTTAGTAACTCAAAATCCAGTGATCTAACCAAGCTGTTTGATAAGTGCAAACTGTTTACTATGCTTAAATGTGTCCCAGGACTTTACTCCTAACACACTAGCCATAAATGTGTTTAATCTTTTCCATCACAGAAGTATTCATGAACCTCTTCCCTCTGCTACATAGTCAAGTCTTCCTTTTAACTAGCAGAAATGGGCAACTAAGCAATAACCACTTAGCCTATTGCTACAAGTCTACCAAAAAAACTGTTCAGAAGGCAAGTACATGACATATCAAAACCTAAGGAAACTTTGTAGCTCAGACCTAAGAACAATGCCTCACTGAGGAAAATGATTAAGATTTCCGTCTAGTTAAAGTAGACAGATGATTAAAACTACACCTTGAATCTTGCAGTCTGCTTTGACTAGGCACATGGTTATAAGAGTATTCAGACTCGCTATATCTAAGGAAGTGTGTGTGTACACATATTATTCAAGTCCAAACTCTATTACAGTAAGCCAGAAAGGTATAGGAATTTGACCCTAAGAGGATGATACAAAATTTGAGAACATTTTTATGCTACAGTAAAATTCAAATTGTTACACTAGCAGAATTACAATGTACTAAACATAGTGACTGTATCGATAAATTAGTTCTTACAAAAACATAGTATTGTAAAACAATAAGGGTGACTGGTTAAATATGGAGTCTACACATGATGGTATTTAAATTCAAATATTTAAATTCTTGTAGTGGCCTTTTTAATTCCTAAGTAAATAAATGGAGTGGGGGAGAACTAACCCAGAAGCACAATAAAAATTTAAATATTAAGGTAGGTCTCAAAACTTAGAATCAACATACAAATGGAGGGGGGAGCACATGCAAATTACCTATTCAGTGTTGAAGAACCATTTATTTAGTTAAAAAAAAAAATGATCTCTACCTTCAAAATGCCTCAACCAGGTAACTGCATATTATTACAATACATTTTAGTGAATTATCCACACTGTTCTGTCAGGGCTGTATTCAAGGTCTGTTCTATAGGAGCATCAGTCACTTTAAAGATAAGTCTGTGGAAATTCCCTTTACTGTTTGGCTTTCTGGGCACTGAACATATAGACAAATACAAGAAAAAGAGCAACCTGGATGGATTTTGCTTACCAAAGTTACAGTGTAATTAACACTACACTTCCTATCATCTCCCTCTTCTATCTGCTTATTTTCCAAGTGAGCCAAAAAATAACTCAATCTAGACCAGATGAAAGATGCATTAGCATATTCCAACAATAATGAAAAATAATTGGGTTCTAAGTGCTTTTTTACTTATGAAGTTAGCCATTATCATCCAGAATATAAAGATCCTTACAGAATACTACAGAAATTTTATCACAGAAAAGTAGAAACTGTATCATTCATCAAAAACCTCAACACATTCAACGAGATCAAGTACTCAGAACATCCAAGATTCCAAACCTTGGAATTTGCACACATGCTCATGATACCCTAAATTAGCACTCGCACATTATTTGGAATCACTTTTTCAAAACATACAATCAATCCATCTATTTTAAAACACTAATCTTTTAGTTAAGGACTTTATTCTACTCAGCAAGGTGTCTGTCTTCCAAAGCAGCTCTTTACATTCCAGAATACAAACTCACAAGGTTTGTGATCACTGCTAGCCTATTTATGTCATTCTCACCCACTAAGTCTAATGCCACAAAATGTCCTTGATTGTATAAAAATCTAATGTTTCTGGAACACTATAATTCTCTTCTCCAATGGTTACAATTTTTTTTAAAGTATGCAATAAATTTAGTGTCATTGCCATGAATGTAAAAAAAAAAAAAAAGGTGTAAATTTTGTTCCAAAAATTAACTTAGTCTCATGGATTTCTATTAAGTCTTTCAAGCATTCCAGAGAATCTTTTCATATCTCCATTTCTGGAAAGTGTAATCAGTATAGAAGTAATTTGGGACCTTGGAAATGGCATTCATGTTTTTCAGCAGATGCCAAATTTTTGACCGACATGGCTCCCACAATTACTGTTACCATCAGTCCAGTCAGTTAACAGGTTGTAGGAAAAGATTCGTTTTTGCAGATACTGCTAAGCTGTTTAAAGAGAAGAGAAAGAGATTAATTTAGCGAGTATGAAATGTACAGATATTTAAAATATTTTGAATACTTTGTCGGATATATCAGAGGTGTGACTACATTTTTTAACAAACATACTTTTAAGTATGGTTAAAAAAAAGGATAAAAACTTAAGCCACTATGATAGAATTACTATGCCAATATGTGTTAGTCAATTAATGTATGAATATTAACTACCATAGGAAGACAGGTACATTTTTAGGTTTTCTAGCATTTTTACATGGGTACAAATCAGGGAAAAAAACCTGAAACGGTTTCCCAAATACTAAATTGTTCTCAACCATCACAGTAAATACACACAAACTTGAAAATTTCAAAGGAATCTATTTTGTATTTCAGAACTCTATCAAAATACTAATTATTCACAACACAATTTTCTAAAAATAGTAAGACAACAGTTTTATATTAATCATAACTTTTTTAATTAACAAGTAGTGAACAGGACACTTAAGATTACTGTTTACTACACACTGAAATAAACAACTGTTGTAAATTAAACCCAAACATTTACAGTAAAATGTGCTTACACATAAATATGATCAAATTTCTTTAAAGCCCCTGATAGGTCCTAAATACATGCAGTTACCATGTAAACACAAGACCATGAGTTGATGCAAAAAAATGACAAAAATCATTGTCACCAAAACTAGAAAAGAAACAATGAAATGGAAACAGAAAAGACAGTTAATAAGACATAAGGAACCTAAGAAAGCAGCTTTAAAAATAAGACACTCTAATCTTGCCACTGTCGAGAACTCCTAATTCTCCAAACTGCCATTTATAAAATGACAGTCTAGAACTTGGTACTTGGAATTTCAAAACATCCAAATTCAAAAACTGATTTTCCCCAAGCCTACACTTCAAATGCAGTTAAAGCACTGAGGTTAAGAAAATATTCCACAGAAATGGTATAACTTTTTGGGAAAACTTACTGCTTCCAGAACCTTTTGATTAAAATCTATATTAACAACAACCATTTTTCCTATTTTCATCCATTACTTTCCAATGTCACATTAGAGATGAATAAATTCTTTGAGCCCATGACTGAAAGATCAACAAACCTGATTTTATTATGACACCATATTTTTGTCATTGGTTCTGCACAAAATTATATACAAAGAAATATATACAAAAAAGTTCAAGTATTAAATTTCAATTCAAGGCTTCTGTTTCAAAAGCTACATTTAACATACTTCAGAAAGAGCACAAATTAGTCATTTCAAATAAGTTTCCAACTACTTTTGGTTTATATATATATGTATATATATATAATTCAGTAGGCACTAAAATCCATGCAGCTGCATTGTGGGGGCTTGTTCCTACCCTTGTAGAAGCAGGTCCGTCACTCCAAGTTGTGAGTTTGGCTACTACCCATTCATGCTCAAGTGCAGTAGGTAATTTTACAAAATGTGATATACTGAAAAACCAGAGACTAATTTAGGTCTCAAAATCATATTATCTAGCAACAAAACATTTACAGTTAGTTGTGCAAGAACAAGATTCCATTTCCATAACCAAATAACAAAATAAAACATCTTACTTGTAGGATAACTTACATCTTTGGACTGCTGGAAAATACTTAATTATGAACATTTTAAAAATAAAAGACAGCAGAAGCCCTGATATTACCTCTGTTTCCTTATTTCTTATACTACCTTTTAAAATAAAGCAGGAAATGTGGCCAGCAGCTGGTCCCGTCTCTTCTGCCCCAACAGCTGTATCCACTTTAGCACAAAGAAAAACAAGGATGCTAAATACTTATATCCTTTATCAAACAGTGATGTTTCACAAAGAATTTAATATCTCTTGCACTTCAGAGCATCAGAACACACACTTAGACAAGTGGACAATAAACAGTATTTTGAGGGAAGAAAGATTTTTTCCATCTTTGGAGAAACAGTATCAATCATATCATTAATTTTAAAAATCATTTTTAAATAGGACAAAAGTTTTAGAAGTATGGAGAAAATATTCTTTGTGAAGCCTCACTTTACATGTTTTCATTCACATTTCACAACCTTCAATATCTAGTAATCATACAGAAATTTAGCTTAAATTTTAATACAACAAAAATAAATACTTTCAACAATTTCTTCATACTCATGGATAGGTAATTACTGAGCTGGTCCTCAAAGAAACATTTCATTTATTATCTTTTAATTAAAATACAGAAATTTTATGGGTATGTTAATTTCCAACTTCTCAAGTGGTGAAATATTAGATCTTTAAATAGACTGTATTTCTGCATTTTCTACTTAAAACTATAAGGCATTCTTAAGTATTTTAGGAGATTTGTCATCTCCAGAAAAATACTACATTTTTGCATGCCTCAATACTTATTGTCAACCTCTGAAAAGTTGCTCTACAGTTGGAATTCCAATTTGCACCTTGTACAACTTGGAACTTCCATTCAACTTCACCTGTTTGTCTCCAAACTGTATCTCTATTAGCAGGTTTCAGTGTACAGTTGGAACCGATGTCATCCAAGGCCATGTCCACACTGGGGACAGAAGAGCTAGGTACACGCAACTCTGAACAAGGGGACACATTTAACAGCTATTTCAACCAGAAGCAACTTAAGTACATTAATGACCAGCACAAGTCTGTTTCCAGGGTGGACAAGGCCCAAATTAAGATTCCCCTCCCACCTTTCAAAAAGAAAAAAAGAAACAAACAAACAAAAAAGATATCACACACACACACATTGAGATGTCTGCCCATTAAAGTAGGCTAAGCAGCAGAGCATGAGCGTTACGTGAAGAGATGGAGCCTTACCAGGTTGTGAGGCGGGAACGACTGTTCTGTAACCCCTACAACGGAGCCTGGCAGGAAGGAAATCACCTAAAAAAGAAACTGTCAGAGAGATTTAATAGTCACAGGTTATCATTAGGAGTTGGTTACAGTGTCACATTCATGCTTTTTAGCTAAACACTTAAAAGATTTAATATTACTTTTTTTTCCGCCTCTGAAATGCGTCCGGTGAAGATGTCCCACTAAGGTGTTTTACATGGTGTAAGGGAGTAGAAAGGGGTAAACGCGGATAAAGAGCAGATTACTTGACCCTACATTTTAAGAGACGACGACGCCTTCCGAGCGCACGCCGAGCAGAACTCCACCGACACCTTATCCTTGTCCACATGGAGACACACTCCTCCCGCCGCGTCGTCCTCTTCCAGCAGCTCCTGCGGCTGCTTCCCCACCGGCAGGGCGTAGTCATGGTCACCGGCGGGCGAGTCTCTGAAGAGTGAAGTGGTCAGCCGCAGTCCCACGCCGCTCAGCCGGCTCAGCAGGCGAGCCAGTCCGGTCTCGTTGGCTAGGACAGCCCGTAGGTAGCGACTCTCCTCCTGCAATGCTTGCACGCGTTTGCCCAGCTCCCGATTCTCGGCCCGCAGCTCCTGGTTCTCGGCTGCCAGTCCCCGGACTCGACTCTCCAGCCCCATCACGTACTCCTTCTTCTTGAGCCGATTAAGACGGGCAGCGGCCGCCGCCGCCTTCCGGGGACTCTTGGTCGCAGCCTGGTTGCTGTCGTTGGCGCCACCGCCTCCTCCCGGGGACTTTCTCCGCCTCTTTTCCCCGCTGCCGCGGTCGCTGGCGCTGCTGCAGCCTCCGATGCCGTTTAACAGCCTCTGCAGCAAGTCAGAAAAGCGCTGCATCTCTGCGGCCGCCGTCTCGTCGTCGTCGTCCCCCCTCAACAGGCCGCCGCTATCCGAGCCTCCGCCGGACGAGGACAGAGGCCCGGGCGAGCTGAGCCCGGGCTCCAGGTGCCAGTCCGGTTGCCGAGGGTCCAGCAGATCGGCCAGCTCCAGCCCGGAGAGAAAGTCCATGTCCTCCGGCTCCTCTTTGGGGACCATAGCGATCGCGTCCTCCTCCTCCTCCTCCATCTTCACTGGCGAGGACGCGGGCGCGCGCACGGCCACGCTACCGCGGCTCCCCCTCCGGGCCTCCCGCTCGCCCGCGTCCCCGTGAGGTTGCTCGCGGTCAGGCGATCCCGGCCTCGGCGTCTCCGCCCCCGCCGCTGCCCCAGTCGGGTCCCGGGGCGGCGCGCGCGTGGCGGACGGACCCTGGCTGTCGCGGTGGTTCGGGAAGTCGCGGCCCGAGGCTGCCAGCAGCTTGGTCAGGCTGTGCCTCATGGGGCTGAGCGGCGGGCCCGGGTAGGCCGCAGCCCCTCAGACCCCGGGCCCCCGCGCGCAGAGCCACGGCGCTGGGCCGACCGCAGGCGCGGGGAAGGTCTGAGCAGCCTCCCGCGGCCGCCCAACCCCCCGCACGAGGCGGGGGGAAGGCAGTGGAAGCCCGAAGCGGCGAAGCCCGCGAGGACTCGGCCGCGCCACCCAAACAGCGGCCTGGCCGGAAGTTACTCTTCCTCCACCCCGCCCACAAAAACGCGCTTCTCTTCAGCCAGAGTATCGCGAGATTCCGAGTGCTTTCGCGGTGCAGTAACTCCCGCTTTGCGGTGATGTCATAGGAGCAGTGGCAAAAAAACAATGAGAGTTGGGTTTACACCCCCCTAATTCATCGCAACTACCCAGTACCGCTCTCGTCAGTTCAATATTTGACGTCCAAACGTATTTGGCGTACCTATATAAAAAACTATTTTGTGAGCACTTTTATTTTTGCTTTTTCTGTCTAAACTACAAGTAAAACAGCACGCATGTGGAAATAGTCCCCGTTAAAACAAAGACTTCATTCAAATCAAGTGTTACCAGATTCTAAGAAACGAACTAAAACGAACTCCCCAGGCAACATTCAGAAGTCCTTAGACTCAGAAAGTGATCTTTCATAATACTATTACTGCTATTATTGTCATTATCACATTTTTATCATTTGTTTGTTTTTTGCAACAAGGGTCACTTGCAGTGTTAGTTGGTTTGCCAGGGGTAGGCGGTTGGTTTGTTTATTGCTCTCTCGTTTTGCTGTGTTCTGCTTTTTTTTTTCCTTCTTTTTTCAAGCTATGGCCTGACAAAAGTTACTTAGGCTTTTTCCGTTTTTAAAATACCAGCTTTTTGAAAAGACCAAATCTTGAAGAAAACACTTCACTTTTAATAAGACTGAATTCATTTTTAATAAAATACTGACTCTGTGGTTCTGGATTGCTCGTGCTGTTTCTCTAGTTTCATACGTACGGCATTTGAGAGCTGAAACGTTTACAAATGCCCTACAATATAACGAAACACCATACCTTAGCTCGTGTTTTCCAAAAAAGGCCAACGAAAGAGCAGATGAACTAGAGAGAGAAAGGGGAGGTTAGTCGGTGAATAAAACTGCATGGAAGCATACGCAGTTACTTTAATTGAGCTAAAAATAAATTAAGCTTCATGGCAGTATACACACACACAGAAATGTTAGCTTCTAGGGATCTTGGTCAGGCTGCTCTCTGTTAATTAAAGAATTAAAAAGAAAAACTCAAACATAGTAGGCAGCTATAAATAAATTTTATTAAAGACGAAGAAACACACACACAGGGATTGGGGAGTTAAGTCTTCTTGGTGTCCTGGGATCTGCCCTCTCCTCCTCCTACCATTTTAGATTAATGAACGTAAAGAGGAAGGAACTGACAAGCCCACAGCTTCAAGTAAACCTTTTCAGGACCAGCTTCAGCCAGGCCGCTGGATGGTGTGGAGGGGGGCTGTTGGCAGGAAAAAGGGCATCACAGGCCTTTGTCCCAGGTGAGATGTGAGGAGGAGGTCTGAGGGGCGCTCTTCGTTATCTATTTGTGGCCCTTTCCCTGTGTCCCACACATCAGGTCGCCTCCTGATTCCTTAAAACACACTCCACCTGTTCACATGGAAAGTGCTGTCAAGACAAAACACCTATTCCTGGAAGGTTCCAAGAGGAGGTTTATATTTTGTGCTAGGTAGACCTTGGCTCAGAAACATGTGATTCAGGATGCCCTGAATGACATATTCCAGTTTGAAAATAGTTTCATAAAAGATACAGAAAAGAGAAAGTCATGCATCATGGTATTTTTCAAAGACATAGGTAGGTAGATTCGAGCAAAGTGGGGAAGTCTCTGTCATGGTTCTCAGATGTGCTTGATGAAACGCCTAGCTTTGGAGTAAGTGGGAGTGACTGGTCTGTTAAACACTTTCCAAACACGTTTACACTATAGTTAAAAGGATATAAAGTCAGGCATAGAAGTGGATGATGAATGTTAAGGCGACTAAAAATAGCCAGAGATAGCTTCACACTGTACAGACAACATCCCAGCTCTGCAGTCAGGAAGGTGTAACCAGTCTTCCAATCTTGTGGAATCTTTAACATAGAAATGTAGTGGCTTTTTTTGTTTTTTTGTTTTTGTTTTTCTGGGAAATTCAGTTCATAGAATACATAGTAACACTAGAATAAATTCAGCACTGCCAGATAAAAATATTTTTAACCTTCCTTCATCTCCAAACAGAACGGTACTCATACACATCAAGGTGATCAGGGAAGTGTTTCCTAAGGAGATATCTAAGGCGAAATCCAAAGTGGGCACTCTGAGAAGAAGACAAATGAGCAGCAAGAAGAGAAATAGTGTACAACAAACATCTCAGCATCCATGACACCGGCAAATGAACAACGAACGTGATTACAAATGCATGAGAATGACATGGGCATCCTGACTGTCATTACAATCCTTGTACGTTTGTAGCCAGCAAGCAATACAACATGAAAATCAATGAACGGTAGGCAGGAGATCAATATTTTCTTTGTTAGTATTCTTTGTTTTCTCATAACACAATCATTTTATTTCCCTACTGAGATCTTTAGTTCTTCAACAATAGACTTCTCAGTTTGGAGGACACTGTGAACTCCTTTCTGAGACATATATATGTAAAATTTTCATTTGGGAAACTAAAAGACGAAGATGGTATCAAACCTTGATGGATTCTAAGAAGACTTCAGTTGGTTATAAGGAAGGTAATAATTGTTAAGGACATGATCCCACCCCTCCTAATCCCTTAACCTTACATGAAAAATGGGAGTTTTACAAAGCTAATACACTTGAAATAGGGTTGTTATGGTGAACTAGTGTGACTAGTGTCTTTATATAATTAAAACGTTGCAGGAGTAAGGCTGGCAACATCGCTCAGCAGGTAAAGATTCTTGCTCTACAAGCCCAGTGACTGTGTCCAATCCCCAGGAACCACATAAAGGTAAAAGGAGAGAACCAACCATACAAAGTTGTTCCTTGACTTTGCACATTGTAACACAATGAGGAAGAGGAAGAAAAAGAAAAAGCAGACTAGGAGAGAGGAGGAAGTAGAGACAAAAGGACACATTGTAACACAGGCAACTCCCCCTGCCTATCACACACACACATACACACAATAAAAATAAGTCTTTCTTTTTTTTTTTTTTTTTTTTTTTCGAGACAGGGTTTCTCTGTGTAGTCCTGGCTGTCCTGGAACTCACTTTGTAGACCAGGCTGGCCTCGAACTCAGAAATCTGCCTGCCTCTGCCTCTCACGTGCTGGGATTAAAGGCGTGCGCCACCACCGCCCGGCCAAGTCTTTCATTTGTAATAAAATTTAAAATAAGAAAATAAAAATGAAAACATTTTTGAGATCTGGAAACTTAGTTGGTAAAGTCCTTGTCTAGTACCTGCATTGTCCTTCGATCTTCAGAACCATATAAACGGGACAGGGAAAGGCACACCTGAAATCCTGCATGGAAAGGGTTAAGGCAGAAGTACCAAAACCTCAGGGCCAGACTTGGCTATATAGCAAATTTGAAACCATCCTAGGCTACCTCAACACTGTCAAAGGGGGGGGGGAGAGAAAAAGAAAAAGCAGACTAGGAGAGAGGAGGAAACACATGGGGAGACAATACAGAAATACAATGGGGAGAACCTGACTGGATAACTGGGGCATTGTGTTTGTAAACCAAAAGTGCTTAAAGTTGCCAGCAAACAAGAAGAAACTCTAAGGAGAAAGAAGTTTACTCAGCAGGACAGCCACAAGAGTTAGCACATCCTTGCCAACAGCTTGATTTCTGATTTTAGCTTCTAGAATGGAGGCAATTAATTTCTGTTGGTTTTAAGCTGAGTTTTTGTCATTGATTATAGCAGCCCCTACTTCACAGAGCCTTCCAAAGCCCTGTAGCTAGGAATACCTGGCAAATGCACTTTTGCTTTTATGGGTTTGTTGGTTTGCTTGCTTTCATTTTTACATTTACAACGCAGGATCCCACATTAAAAGGGGAGATTGACACCAATGGTAAGTACCAATACAGCAAATCTTCCATAAAGACCACAACGCCTACATTGATATTTTTTCTAAGGTAGACAATCACATCGCAGACAGCAGAGAGTGCAGCTGAGTCGTGCTTAAGTGGCTTCCATAGAGAAAGAAGAGCAAGCATATTACAAAGACCAAGGAGCTCATCTCATTTTTGTTTTTCCATTTACCCATGACCCATAAAATACGAGGGGCAGTAAAAACAGAAGGGACCACAGCTGGTTCTGAACTGAAGAACCAGGTCGGTAACAGTATCTGGAGAGCAGATTGTCTGAAACATCTCCATTGATGACCCCCTTTTGTGGCATGTCTTCGAATCGATGAAGACCCACTGTTGCTGCTGACGGCAGAGTGGGGACAGTGTAGAAGTTAAGCACAGATGGTTGGAAGGACACAAATGATACTTTTCTTGTCACAGCAAGGTCCTTTCTTCTAGAGTAGATGCCATTTCATAGCCCTCTCACAGGTACCTCAGATCATTCTTCAGTCCATTCTAAATCCTGTTTTCTCCAGAAACTCCAAGGTGGATGGTGATGCATGTCTTTAATTCCAATACCTGGGAGCCAGAGGCAGGCAGACCTCTGTTGAGTTCAAGGGCAGCCTGCTCTACAAAGTAAGTTCCAGGACAGCCCAAACTATATACAAAGAGAGAGAGAGAGAGAGAGAGAGAGAGAGAGAGAGAGAGAGAGAGAGAGAGGCAGAGAGAGAGAGAGAGAGGTAAAAAAAAGAACAAAAGAAACTCCAGAACTTTTCAATTTTCTTTATATGCTGAAAATTTTAAATTAGATACAAGTGAAAAGAAAAAGAATAATATGCTGATTACATTTAACAATTTAGGGCCTCAGTTGCTTCACCCTATTGCTCGTTTTATTGAGATATTTTAGAATAAATCATAGGTACCATGCCAGTCCACCCCTACATGTACTACTGGACACATCATTATAAGACTATTTTAGTTCTGTAACCACGATACCATGATTATAACTAATAAAATCATTATGGACCTTATTCTGGTACTAGGGGCCTTTATGTATGCTAAGCCAACGCTCTATCACTGAGTTACACCCAGGCCTCTTTGATTTCTTGATATTTAAACTCCATCCCTTTTCAACTGCATTGCAGCTAACTTGTCTGAATCAAGGC